ATTCTGATATATATATATATATATATATATATATATATAGAGAGAGAGAGAGAGAGAGAGAGAGAGAGAGAGAGAGAGAGAGAGAGAGCAATGCAACATTAGTGATTACATAAGCAAAGTTCTGTACCTAAGATGCATTTATTGTAAAAACGATGAAGTGAAGTTTTACAACGAGACGCTTAGTAAAATAGACAAGAAACAATCTACCTAAGTAATACAAATTTTCTGCCAAAACTCCTAAAAAATGGTGAGGCAACTTAAGAAGAAAGGACGGGCAACAGCACATCAGAATGTATCAATGGTATCCTTCTTAGTCCTGGTAATACTTAGCATTACGAACCATACAGTTAACCTTAATGGTATATGGGGCTCATCAGGGTGGATGAAGACACTATTGTAAAAAAAATATATACACTATATTCGAAACTATTGAGAAAATTGTGCCTTTCCAAAATTTTACGTTTATTTGAGCCTTCTCTAACAGATCTTTGGATTGGACAAAGTTACTTTTTTTGTTATCATCACTAAAAGTGGTATTTTGGTTATCATTATAGTCATTATTGTGACTATTTTAATTTATTATAAAAATACTACAATATAGAAATATTTATTGTAAATGTATAAAAATTGTATTAGTATAATTAATTATGATGAAAATTATAGTGTATGTATGTGTGGTGATTAGTGACCGTAAATCGATAATTATTCAGAAATCGTGAGATGCGGTCTGGTGTGATGTAGGTTTCAGAAAAACATTTTCTTTATCGTGCCAACGTTTCGATCTTTATTGAGATCATCTAAATATGTCGTATTAGATGTATTGACCACATTTCTACTCAAATAATAATACTCTGGACTGATTTTTTTTATCTCAACCAATACATTACTTAAAGATTAATTAATTGAAAAGAATTTATTTGATCAATCGGACCACGAAACCTAATCGACTCTGGATTAAGTTCTTGATAAAAAAGCAAATTGATTTGTTACTGCCAAGATTTCGATCTATTTTAAGGTCATCGTCAGGGCAAAACATAAACTGCATTGAAGACCATCTTTCAAATCTAAATTATGTCAATTTGTAGACATATTTAATATTGTTTTGACCTGATGATGACCTTAAAATAGATCGAAAGCTTGGCAGTAACAACTGAATTTGCTTTTGTATCAAGATCATACCATGATACAGAGTTGTCTGTTTCAAAGTCATCACTAACGTGTGAAAAAAAATATTTGAGAGGTGAAAATTTGAAATTTTTCCAAAATTTGTATTACGGGTGGCAAAAAACGTACAGTAAATTGTTTCTTGCTAAAAAAAATAAATATTAGAGTAGTGAAAAATCAAAGTGGTAACAATAAAGTAGGCAGATATGAAAATGCAAACTTGGAGATTCATCATGTTCCATGCTCAGTTTATTTAACAACCATTCGGCCCTTTAATGAAAATTTACTTGACTACCTGATTGCTTTGTGTAACGAGAGAAAACCCATCTCATCAACCCCATCGCACACAAAGGGGAGATGATTATCAATATCGAAACATTGTTTGTACACGATGACGCCTTGATTATCTCTATTTACGATGCATTATCGCTTTATTGTTATTTATCGTTATTGGCAAATATGAAATTTGCATGGAGTTGATGAAAACCCGGGCACGCTCCCGTCGGTTTTTGCCTTCCTCATAAAAATGCAGAAATAAAATCGTACCACTCGCTTGCAAATAAAATCCGAATATCCCCCTTCGTCCTCGGCTGGGGAAAAAAACGGAATTTGCGTTATAATTAATGCACACTCTCTGTTAGGACCGTAAAAAAGAGGATTTTTTATTCATTACAAAATTGGCCCCGGAAAGGAAATTTATTGTAAGATAATTTGTCCATTTTTCTCCAATGCTTTCCCATCATAAAAACGAGAGGGGGATCCATTTCGCCCTAACGCATCTTTTAACGGGACTCGGTTCACCCAGAGTGAGAAAATAATTTTATACATATTTTTTTAATTTATTCCAGATCAAAAGGTTTATTATTTTCAATAAAAAATATCAATGATAAAAAAATGAGAAAATAATACGTTACCCAGAGCTCTCTCTGAACAAAAGGGTTGTAGTTGTGAATGATTGATTAAATCAATCAAACAAGTAATCAAATTTTACTACAATACATGATTTTTTTTAAACAAAACTTGTAAAACTAAACTGTCGCTACAACCAAATACATTGTACTGATTTGTGTCGTAAAAATAAAATAAAATATTCATTTTTTACATACAAAAATTGTTAAGTGATATCAAATGTAATACGCCATTGTCGGAACGTTAAACAAGTAGTTTGTTGGCTAATTGCTATTGCTAATTTTTTAGGTTTTAAAAATAAACTACACAACATAATGAGTAGGTTTATATCTAAATTATTTCTTCTAGAAAGAAATATTTATTTATTATATCTATTTTAGTCTTTAATGGCATACAGAGGAAGGTGGATTTTTATATTTCATATAATCTTAGTAATTTACGATATTTAGTTTACAAGTATTTAATTACAATAAATATTTCTTTTTTGATTTATGTAGAAAACATTTCCATGTGGTTTTTTTTAAATAAAAAAGTAAATATATTACCTAGTTACATTAAGTTTATTTATATTGTATTCAGAAATCGTGAGATGCGGTCTGGTGTGATGTAGGTTTTAGAAAAACCTTTTCTTTATCGTGCCAACGTTTCGATCTTTATTGAGATCATCTTCAGGGCTCAAACTGTTTGTCTTCTGTGTAATTGTAACATTGGGCACTCTCAACACGACACGCAAGAATGGCATATATATATATATATATATATATATAGAGAGAGAGAGAGAGAGAGAGAGAGAGAGAGAGAGAGTAAAAAGTACAATTTATTGATATGTGTTGCCCGTCCTTTTAGCAGATAATTTGTATTATTTAGGTAGATTGTTTATTGTCTACTTTACTAAGCATCTCGTTGTAAAACTTAACGTCATCGTTTTTGCAATAAATGCATCTTAGGTACACAACTTTGCTTATGTAATCACTAATGTTGCATTTAGGTAAGTACAATGCAATCCGCAGATTCCACTACATTGTGATTCGATTGAACATTCTTCCCGCATTCATTTTTGTTGCTGGTCTATTGCCCTATGTTAGGGGAATTCACGATCTTTGTGTTAACCGTGTTAACTCTGTTAGGTCGCGTTAGACCAGAAAAATGATGACATAGACTTGTAAGAATCGGCTAGTTGACATTGCTCGATGTAACAGGGTAGCGCCAATGTTAGATGATAAGTCGAAAATGTAGTCACATTGCTAGCCGTTAGGGCGTAGGTAACCAACATGCCAGCCATGAATCAAGAGCTGTTTTTTGTTTACATGTTTATTATTATTCTTAAATACGCATAAATTAAAGCAGACCAATACATTTCTTTTGGTAATTTCTGACCTGTCCTTATATTCTCATTCATAGTAGGTACATCCCCTATCCTATAAAGTAGTAGGCTGTTAGACGTTCGGGTACAAGTTAGGTATGTCGGCACGAATTGACGCGTTAAGTACTTTTCGAGTGCGTAGCATTTTGATTAATTTCCCTTTTTTATTAACTTCTGGCATCTTACAATTTAACACAAAATAAAACCTAAACAAGCCTTCAAGGTCTGTTATAGCGTTCTTTTTGGTTCTACCAGTCGCGAAACGCACCACTGCGGAAAATTATTAACATTTAACATGCTAAGAAAAGAAGGGGGCGGGCGTTCACAATATTACTGGGCATTTCTCTATTGGAGTTAACACGAGTTAACATCTAACAAATATCGTGAATACCCCTATTGTTTAGAAGTAGATTCGGCTTAGCTAGCGAAATTTCATACTTATTGCATCAGTTGATTAGAATTATTTATATCTTTAATATATCTTTAATAGCTTTAATTTAATATATCTTTAGCATTTAATATATCTTTCCTTCTGCAGCCATCTTGATTCACCTGTTATTATGTTAGACCCGCGCCGAGAAATATCGAGTACTCTGGAGGAGTGAATGTGGCCAGACTTCTATTTTTCTATCGAGTGTTGTGTTTGTGTTAATTTATTGTAATGAATGTAATTTCTTAGCGTGAAAGGAAGGGGTTGCTTATAACCCCGCCCCGAGGAATATCAAGTNATATATTGTATGTTTTGTAAAACATGTATTTCTATTCTGCATTTGACAACCTGAGGTTCAAACGAGAGATTAGCATTCTAGGATATAAACGTAGTATATATTTGCAATCAGAAAGTCAATAACCAGATCGAGACGCTCAAATGGCTGCAGTTTAAAACAAAGTACTTTATTTATGCTAGATACATTCCCAGCCATAACAAGTGAACAATTGCCCAGGCCTAATATCTAACAGTTCGTTATTTTGGTCTTACCCATTTCAAACTCTACTGTCTTTAGTAACATGCAGTTTGGTCGTTCCTGAACATTTTGTTCTGTCCATCCTCTCTGTTTTGGTCTCCTAAACGTGTGTCGGTTTTTCCATTTTCAGTGGCAGCTTTTAACCAAAATTATTATTCAAAACTCAGATGTCGAGAAACCGAAACGCATCTGACATACAATATCAGCAAAGATTGGCAAATCGAATGACACTTTCCCTCTGGTTTACTTACAAAACTTACAGCTTATCTTTCAACAAGCAAGTGTGTATTACCTGATCTTATATGTATGTTCTTTTAATAACCAAGACAAGGTGTACTGTTTGCTTCTGCATTCTTAGTTATTCATTTAATCCAAATTTATGTTAATGCGAACAGAGGTCGGTTCCAAATGAGGACTTATTACTCCACTATCATTTTTGTGTAGTGGATATTCGTTTTGTTATTCTAATAACCTTTATTTTGGTGATTATTTAGGTTATTTGATGGGGGCAAGTTGGGCTAATATCTTTTATTTCATACTCAATACTTTACTTCATAATTCAATGAACTGGTTAAGTGATGGATAATTTATTTTCTTACCTTTGTCCTTAACGTTGTTGAGATTCTTTTCAACCACCCGTCCAAAGAAGTCCTTCGCTTTCTGCAAAAACATGATAAAGTTGAGACAGACGTTATGAAAGTGCTGTATAAATGATGTAAGACAATTCAATTAATAAATAAATAATTTCACAGGAAATTGAAAGAGGGGAAGAAAGGGTAGTCGAAGGATAAGAGTCGGGGCGGGGGCCGACAATAAGGTGGCGTTTCAAAAACCCCATCAGTGCCGCCATATTACCTTGTTTGACAATTTGCCTTGAGGGTTCCACCCCCGCCGCTCTGGTGTATACAGCCATTGTGTGTCGAGTATAATGAGAACCCCCAACCCCTTCACGGAGCCAACCGCCCCGACAACAGAATGAAAATTGTGTAAATAAAACGGGCGGTTTGCTCCGGAATAACACACGGGAGAGGAAACTAATTTACATTTATATAAGGGCCTCTCCGGCCACCTTTTATTCCCTTTTCTTCCTTAGGACAAGTTCCGTGACAGCATTAGCATTACTTTACCCGAATGGCAGATAAGAAATCCACAAATATGTAGTAAGGACGGTACGAATACAAATCCGGTACAAATTATTCGAGGCAATTGAAATGATGGCAAACAAATGAAATTAGCACGTAAAGGAAAAAAGGGACGATTTTTCCTTATGGTAACTTTTCAAATTTGAGTCTGTCATAGTGCAGATACGGCGAACTAAGTGTCTTGGATGGAGCGACGGAAACCTATGGAAGAAAACTAACGCGCTCATAAAAAACATAAGGGGCATACCACCTCGGCTAATACAATAGAATGTTGGATTCAACGCATCTGGAAAAATCTTAACTTTTTGCTGATTTGCACGAAGAACAACTTATTCATAATCCAATCGCATTGAATTCAATGGACACATATTAACATATACTGGATAAGATCGCGGAACCTCGTAAGACCTCCATATCCATGATCGTTTTCACTCCTGGCGAAATAAAAATCGCCGTAAATAGATCAACAACTAAGAAGGCTCAAGTCCAGATCATATTAAGCAACCACTCCTTCAAAGGCATCATGATCAAAAAACCAGGCGAAAGAAGAGACGAACCAGCAAGCTGTCGCCCTATAAGCCTTTTTATCTTTTTTTATTTTTGAAAATTCTTGAGATGCTACCCAAGGCAATATGGATTCAGAGCTAACTCCTGCATTGACCAACTACAAAGCATAATCGATGCTATTCTTAACGTACAAAGAAAAAAGTAAGCCTGGGTGTATTTATTGAAACGGAAAAGGCGTTTTATAAGGTGGTTCTATTAGGTTTTTGAAGCCTTGCAGAACAGTGTGAAGCCCTTCCTAAGTTACCCACTACGAACTGCTGAAGTCGTACTTAGAAGGGCGCATATACACAGTTAAATGCGCAAAAGCTTTACCGACGTCAAAACTAATAAAATCAGGAGTAGCCCAAGGCTGCGTCATTGGACCACTTCTGTATCTAAGGATCAATATCAACGATATCCGGAAGTCAGACTACGTTAGACAGGGGAAATTTGCCGATAATGCCAGGCTGGGCATATAAGAATCCACAGAAATGCCCAAAAAGAAGTGCAAAGGTTTATCGATGTGAATGGGGCTCGCGCTAAAGAATGAAAATGAATCCAAGAAAGAAAAAATCGGAGATATTTACTTACCGAAGGACTATAAGCTGTCTGCAAGTAACGGTAAACTGAATAAGACTTCAAGATGACCCGTGAAGTCCTTTGGATTACATCTAGATTCAAGGCTAAACTGGACTAACCATACCATATTGAAAAGAATAAAAGCTCAATATATTCGTTGATCATCGATCTCTTTATATCTATATGCATAAAGAGGCATATACCTCAGGCTCGTAAAATTTAGTACTACTCGTGCAGTCTACAGGGCTCAACACATCAATGAAATTCAAGTAGCACAAAGCAAAGTGTGAAAACAATCACTGGAGCCCCATGGTACGTTAGATATAATACACTGCGTAATGATCCCACAGTAGTCGAAATTGTTAAGCACTCCACGAGAAAGCGTCTTAGATTAAAATCAAAGAGACCGCAAGATTTGCTCCAGGAATGATTCTCAAATTATTGTTTTCTAAATGTCGAAAGTATAACAAAAGTAATAGACAAATAGTGATAAACACTAGTGTGATTAGATTACCTAAATTAGTGTTATGTGTAACTGTAAAATATTTCTACGTATACTAAAATAAAAAATGCATAAAATATGGGCTGGTGCAAAATTAATGCAGGTTTTGAAAATTTGTTTCATTTTCGCAGGTTCATGTCATGTAAACAAAGCCAAAATCTCAGATCTAATGTTTTGATTACAATAAATAGTTTTAACTGTTATCTTTTATGCAAAACATTTTATTTTATGTGTGGTGTTTAGTGACCGTTAGTCAATGATTATTCGGAGATGTCATGTAATCTATTTGATTCTCGGCGACAAATGAAATGGCCACGGAGAGCTTTAGTGAAGTATACTTCATTTTAACGTATTAAAAGGTGGGGAAAATTCAAAAGGTGGGGTTGAGATGGGAAGTTTGTGTCACGATAGCTCAAGTGGTACAGCAGCGGCGTGGGTTCGAATCCAGCTCGTGACACTACTGACTTTTATATCCCAACTAAAAACCTTAATTAATTGAAAGATATTAATTGGTCAAGCGGACCACGAAAACTAGTGAGTTTCGATCTTTATTGAGATCATCTTCAGGGCCTGGGATTTAAAAACATTGTTTAAATTTTACAAATACATGTAATTTGTGAAAAAATGAATTTATACAATGCTAGAAATTTTACATTTAAAAAAATAAATAAATATAGTTTATACAATGCTAGAAAATTTTAGATTAAAAAAAATTATACAATGCTAGAAAATTTTAGATTAAAAAAATAAAAAGATCGAAATGTTGGCACGATAATGAAAATGTTTTTCTCAAAACCAACGTCACACCAGACCGCATCTCACTTTTATTTATGTAGACTTTTATAAGAGTGAGGACCTGCGAAATGAAATATGTCCAACTAGATTTTCGTCAAATTGATTTGTACGAATTTAAACTTGGGCGAAGTGCGGCCCAAACCGCGCGTAACATCAATACAGTTGGGAGGTAGGGAAGCATTAGCATTCCATCTCCACTAACTAGCCGAAGCCTAAAGAAACCGGCGCTTTGAAATTTGTACGTCACTTCCGTTGCGACACCAAAATGATCCATTTCTCGATCGAATCATCACGAACAGCGATTAGAAGTGGATTCTGCACAATAACAGAAGGCGTACAGATCAATGGTTGGACAAGGATGAAGCGCTAAAACACTTCTCGACACCAAATCTGCACCCAAAAAGGTTATGGTGACTGTTTGGTGATGTACTGCCGAGGTTGTTCCCTACAATTTCTTGAATTATGGTGAAACCATCACAGCAGAGAAATATTGCCAAGAAATTGACAAAATGCACGGGAAGCTGCAACGTCTTTGACTAGCATTGGTAAACCGTAAGGGGCCGATTCTTCTTCACTATATTGCCGGGGCACATTTCGTACAATGCCAACCCTGCGCACCCTCCATATTCGCCCGACCTCTCGCCTACAGACTTCCATTTTTAGGCATGATTCCTTGAGGGTTAAAAGTTTTAGAGAACGCGGTGAAGCCGCAAACGCCTTCCAAGACTTAATTGTGAGTCGAAATAAAGATTTTTATATAAGCGGAATAAAAGAGCATATTAAACGTAGGCAAAGAATAAATTTTGAATAAATTTTTTCTATTTTATAAAAATTGAAATTAGTTTGGATTGCCTTTTCAAACCTGCATTATTTTTGCCACGGCCCAACATATTCCGCAATGTTTATGTGTGGAAGTAACATGGTAGTTTGGAATGCTTTAAAACACACCTAGAATGCAACCCCGCCATCACACGTCGATAATGTAACAGGAGGTGGATTGTAAAATAGACGAAGGGCATTCCGCGGAGTGCTTACCGGGTTGTGTGGGGCTTAAATTGCCTCCGGTGCTTAATGTAATGGGTGGGGCGAACCTTGAAGCACTGTGCAATAAATAGAGCGTAAAAGGGGATTAATAACGACGGCAGGACTCCAAGCTCTGTCTTAATTCTCCTACACCTCCTCTGAATAGCGGAAAAGCCGAGACAATGAGTGCCTCGATTAACGGAGTTTTACGCACAAATCAAAAACAAATTCCCGCCCAACACCTGGTCCTTCTCCTGAAGAAGGGCTCAAGTTTGCGCCGAGACCACTTCCAAGAGATTTACGCCATGAGGCTCCAGATGTCCTTTACGAAACTCCAAGTAACAAATTGGCCGTTGAAAAGAAAAGTCGGAGGAAATGCGAGATATGCAGTAATTCTTCCCTTAGGTGTAGGGAGCCTTCCTCAGAAGAGAGGATTTATGAGATAAGGCAAACTTTATCAACTGTTCTCAGTTCTGATGAGCTCGGTTTCATCTCTGTCCTCCCTTCCCGGAACAATTTAATCACAATTCCATTCTTTCTAATCTGTAATCTGGTATTAGAAATAGATAGCAAATTATTCCAAGAAAGGACAATAATGAGTTAAAGTGGATTCAACCAATATATACAAACAGCTAGACCAGATGGTAAACGACCTTTACTCCCTACATCAATATCTTTTCATATCACTAATAGTAGTTATCACTTTAGAAACTAATACTTTTTGTGCTTATTTTTGTCATGTTATTTTATAATTATTTACCATTCCTATCATTTAAAATTTGATTACAGGTATTTTGACGTCACAAAATTTTGTCGTTGAATTTCACACCTCCAGAATGACAAAAAAGTTCTTAACCGCCATGGTCCGATTCTCAAACCTTTCATAGATAACTAATTTTTTTCCAACTATCTACGGTTTTTCGTCATAAACCTACCTACCTACCTCTTAAATTATTGATTTTTGGGGAAATAAAAAAAAATTTAAAATTAAAATTAAAATTAAAAAAAAAAAACAGTCTTTATTCTGGGACGGTGTCCTCTTAGAATAATACAATGGTTTAACTGTATGGAAG